GGCTGTTTCCATAATCAAATCTTTAAAAAAGGTAAATAGAAAAGGAGAGAGAGAGAGAGAGCAACCCTGTCGAACACCACTTTCCGTGGTGAACTCGGGTGGAAACGTACCGTAAGCTCGGACTCGGATTCGGCCATTGGTATAAAGCGTTTGTAATATTTAGATTAACTTCTCGGGCACACTCTTCAGAGAAAGGCAGCGCCAGAGTTTAGAGCGGTCGCCTGAGTCGAAAGCCGCTTTCAGATCGAGGAAGATAGAGATAGTGGGTCTACGAAAGGAATGTCGGTGCTCCAGAGTTTGGCGGCGTGAAGATGTGGTCGATACAACCTCGACCGGATCTAAGACCAGCCTGGTTCTCATGGATGCACTGTTCTAGTGCGCCATGTAATCGACGGAGTATGATGTTGGCGAGAGGTTTAGAAGCAAGTTGTTTAAACTAATTCCTCTGGTGATTTCACATTAGGATCTATCACCTTTCTTGTAAATCGGTATGATCACCGATTCACAACATTCAGCTGGAATCGGTTTCCTCTCCCACTCTGAGCCCGGAGTTACGTTAACTGCGAATCGAAGGCTAAATTTCCAGCCTTTAAAACGGATGGGAAGAGCGCGTCTTGGCCGGAGGCCTCATGCCTTTTGAGATAGCTTGTTTTCCGGGAAGCCTCCATTTCAGATTGAGGACTGGCATCAACTGACAGTATTTGGGCAATGGCGGTGGAGGTTGATAGTTCAGATATCGATGGGGCCAGTTGAACTGAGCCTCTTAATGTTCAGCCCATCGATCAAGTTGGCGTTGCTGACCGTGAATCAGTGTGGCATTGGATTCCTCGATTACCTCATTTACGCCTATTTTCTTAGGGCGCGTATTCCTAATTAAATAAAAAGGTAGCGACTGTTACCATTAGCCGCAGCCTTCCCCATCTCTGTACACTTTTTTACACAGCACTTCTCGCAGTCATTCCTCAGACTCTTGATGAGCTGGCGTTTGAGGGATTTGCGCGCGGTGTTATATGCGGCATCAGGAGGAAGGGTTCTGCGGGCGTCCAGCAGGGCAGCCGAGGTCGATGAGATCCATCGTTTATGTTTTGAGCTGCGCGAAGGTCTGACTTTCTTTTCATTGATATTTGCATAGCCTCTGACTTCCACTGTTCAGTGAGTCCTTTGGCTGGCAGTTGAACTGACAGGAGATCGGAGAGTTCCGCTTCGAAGGCTGATTTGCAACATTCGCTGACTTTGTATCGTGGGTATCCGTTGTCGGTGGCTTTTTACGGTTGTTTGTCAGGTGTAAGGAAAATTGGGATCGTAGCAAAGCGTGCTCCGTATCCATAGGTGGTGACCAATAAGAGCGGCAGTCTTGAATTGATCCCCTACAGCGGTAAGCGATGGTGATGTGGTCGATTTGGGTCCAGCGCTGTGAAGAGATTTGAGGTTTCCATGTAAGGCGGTGTCGTTAATTGTGCGAGAAGTTTTTGCATGACAGGAACAATCCGTTGTCGGCACAGAGTAGAAGTAGCCAACCGCCGTTGTCCGTCCGGTTGCCTGGGATTGCATGTGGTCCACCAAGATGACTTTCTGATTCGTCCAGGGATCCCACGTGAGCATTGAAGTCTCTGGTGATTACCAGGATATCCGTTGATCAAACACTTTGGAGTAATCGAGAAAAGTAGAATTCATCCTTCATTTCTGGCGAGCTGCAATTGGTCGGTGCATACATCGACACGATGAGTAGACATCAACGCTTCGTTCTGTAGCTGTTGACCCGCGCTGAACCGTTGAGACGTACAGTGCACAGTCGGCTACTGACTGGAATCCAGTCGAGAGGCGAGCTCTCCGCCGTGTCACTTAGCACAATCCCGACATCAGCAACACCACGAGCTTCGGACGTCGAATCACCTGACACACAAAGGGTGAAGCGTGAGGTTGAGGTTGGATCAGGAGAACGCAGGGAGATAATGGAAGTAGGGTCTTGTGTATGTGTTTCGGAGACACAGCATACATCTAAATTTAAAGTTTCAAGGGTCCTAGCTAAGGCCGCTTGTTGACCGATCTGATAGTTTGTGCGAACATTGAACGCAGTCAAGTGAAAAAGGAATTTTGGCTTCAAAAATCCTGGAATTTCTGATGGTTTTGACTTGTTGGTGAAACGCTGAGTGATATCCGATAGGTCCTGTAAGCAGCAGGCGTTTGGGATTATTCCGGATTCAGAGGAAGAACTAGACAGATGGGAAGGAGGGTTTTCCAAATGGGTGCCTAGGAATTTAGGGCACGACGTACTTCGCGGTAGCCCACACCGACGAAGGGGTTTTTCTTTGGGAACCCTAACCGGAGCCTTTGACTTCAAAGTCTGACCCACAAAGCAGTGGGTCGGTGTCGGAGATCAATTAATTTCTCTCTGTATCCATACCCATATGAGCCTCTATGAACGTTTAGGCTGCCTGAAATATGGGTTACTAGGACGGGTTGTAAGGTTGCGTCGCAAAGCTGCACCCCTGTCAACGCTGAGTTCTGGAGACCGTCCTCTAGCACACTTAGGTAAACTATTATAAGATGCCAGCGGTATATATTACCATTTATTTTCTTGATCATCCCAGAAGTGTGGTACTTTTTTCTGTATGATTTACCTGTGTTTTACTACCCTTGGGAGCGATCAGCTGGGAAGCATCCAGTAGGCAAAACATGTACAGGATGCTTTCTCGTTCACCATTGTCTTGTTCCATTTACAATGAATTCCTCGGGCGATCAGGCGAGAACCCGCTACCCAGTGCTTCTATGCACACAGTAAAGAAGTGCTCGTAGCTAATAGAAGTTAATAAGCGATTTGAATTGCGTTCTCATCCCTGGATGCAGATGATTACTTTAATCAGCTCTCTTCGGTAGCTGGGGGTACCGAACTGGTGTGTTCCATTTGGAGTCCTATATTTAGCTCTGATTTGAGTTGATCCTTGTGCCTCGGTAGTGATGCCCAACAAGTTTGAAATAGCTATTTGAAGATTTCACATCAGAATTCCTTAGATTAGTATACAGCTAACATATTTAAAAACAAAACCAACTGTTTTTCTATTGGAGCGGTCTACAGACCAGTAGAATAGTTAAGATCTGCCAAAGTCTCACCTTGAACTGACATTTAGGTCCTCTATGCCATACTGTAACCAATTGTGATCCATTTACTTTATACTGCGTGATCAAGAAGATAACGCATCAATGTTCAGTCGTTAAAGGAAAGCATGTAATACATTTACTGCAGTGCCAACAGTTAAAATGGATTCACCCAGTTTTGGTGTTTCACTTTACCTGGTCCTGTGACCATTCAACATGCGACACGAGACCATATTTATTCATCCGGAAATCTCGCGCAAGGGTCCCGCGTACCAGGTTGCGTTCTTTGCTGTTCGTAGAACAACCTTTTCCGCATGCCCTACTAATGTAGTCATCAAATTTTTTTTGAAGTTTACCCTTGTGCAGTTTATGTATTCTACACACCAACAAATCACCTGAGTGCAGAGCAGAATCCCCCAACCGACCGAACAATCTTCCCGTGAGTCCATTCTATGCACCTTTCATTTTATTACCATTCGTACTTGTGTTACTTTATCAGTTCTCTCATTCTCAATAGTAAACATTAGCAATGTATGACTTATGATTCTGTAAAGACTTTCTCAAACCTCACATCAACTCAAGTTGTTTTTTGAGTCCCAATGGGATTTGTGTCAGATCCTATTTCAGAAAGCTGTTTTATCTAAACTTCTGAAGAGCATTTTTGGTTAGTGTAATCATATGATGATAATATTATGGATAGTTGTTGAATTTGTTTCCCACTATGCTCATGTCCCCATTCACACCATTGTTTTGCAACCTATTTGTCACTTGTCGTGGTCTTAACCCAAGCATGTAGTCGATTACCTGACATACTCTTCCCGCTCACCACGAATGACTATATTCCCTTGATCACCTGACAAACCCGTATGTTCGGACCCCCACTCGTGACTGCTGTTGTTGGACGGGATGTAGTGTGACTCATCCTGACCGCGAATTGTTTGATCTTATTCGAAGCGGTCTTCGGTCTCCCTCATGCGTCGTATTGATCCATGGGCCCTCTGACGTTATTTCACTTTTCGCTTGAAGGAGTAGTGAACTCTCTCGTCTTCACTTTTGATTCGCGGTTGGCATTGTTCATTTCAAATTATTGAGTTTTTATCCATTTGATTAATAAAGAAAGAAGACAAATGTCACGAGATTTTAACATTTCGTTTCATCTTCTCAGTCGCTAACTTAAAACAAATAGGCATGTAGATAGCACATGGGGTTGCGTCAGTGATTATCAATGACCGCACATAAGGCTGGGTGGTGTAATCGAACAAACAAGGTTTCACTAATTGCCAACAGTTCAGCATTCTGAATATGCCAGTGGTTGGAAGAACAAATTAAGGTAAACTGTGTGTCTTGTTTTTATGATGGGCTTCGCAACATGTGAACCTAGATTTTTTATGATCAGCGTCATCGTTTTCACCAACCACTTTTGGAATATGTTCGACCATCCATTGGGCAAGCTGACTGTTCACTCTGCTTATGTATGCGTCAGCGCAACTGCAGGTGAACTGTGATACAGAACCGGCTCACCAGTCATATTTCCGCTTGTTCAAAACAATTCCACGAGTAGAGTAGTATGCTTCTACACGCTCATTCACCATAATTGGACAACCTCATGTGCTATATTTGTGCCTGTTTGTTTCAAGTCAGCAATTGAGAAGAATAAACGAAATGGTAACGTCTCACGATAGGCAGCCTTTGCATGGTCGCGGCCCCCCTTTCTGAATGTTGACTGTACATTTGTATATTCCATAAATAGAAAAGGAAGTAAAAAGACATTTTTATTTTATTATTTGTCTTCTTTCTGTATTGATTGTACATTTCACCGGTTCAGGCATATCCCCTGGGAAACTCCACGATACTAGGTATGTTGTTTATGCACTTATAACCCTTTATATTTACAGTACCGCATTATTCTTCGTAATAGTTTGCAGTGGAATAAACGTCAAGAAAATTTAGACTTAGTTTCTGAGGTTGCGCGTCATTCAACGTTGGTCTAGATATTCGTACGGATTTTACAGCAACCATAATAATAACAATAGTAATAATAATATTATTAATAATAAATGTAATAGGAATCATTCACTGCACTGACTAGTACGGTTGCTGTTGGATTATTCACTAACTAGGCTCCAGGAGAACGTTGCATATTCTGAACTTACCAGGTTCATAGTACTCATAAGCAGAACACACTTGTTGCTGTGTGATATTCGCCACTGGGTAGTATCGTTCTGCCCGGAATTGGACGCATGTGAGGTTCGTTGTAATCTGTGTAAAAAAATATACGAATAGCAATTAAATATGTCCAGAATTCGAAAAACTCATGGGTTCCTGTTACCATTGGTGGACAACATTTCTTTGAGGATAACTGCAGTACAGTTAGGTTGGGATCTGTCAACAAGAAGGAATGCGTTAATCTATTCTACTAGAATGCAATGAATTGAGGTAACCAGATGATTTTTTTATTAACAAATCATTTGAATATTAGTTTCTGAACGGTTGAATTAGATACCTCGCAGTTTCACTCCATTTTCGTCTGCTCATGAGTATTTCTAACGCTTCAGGACCGAAATAAGGCACAGATCATGAGATGTTACAATTTCGTTTATCCCCGTCAACCCGTGGCGTAAAGCAAACAGACACATCTCGCGACATGTGTCCTCTTCCCGGTCTCGATGCAATGGATTAAGAGGAGTGTTTCTAGTAATTCCAGCGCGTTTGAAATATACAGTTGAGAGAACCATATCTAGTACTTTGTTAGATGTTACCCTTTAACGGTTTTTAGATTTATAGAACCTTATTTTCAATTAGAAGTTAAATGGGGAACAAAGAACATTTGGTCGTGATCAGAGGAAGGCTAAATCATGAACTGATCACCAAAAATTGTAAGGTTCTTTCAGTTTTGTTAAATAACGCCGGCAGTACGAATCAATATCTCTGCTTAGCATTGCGAAGCTGTAACATCATGATTAAAACGCAAGCGCGCTGTCCACCAGCCTATGGACTGTCTAGGTGATGTCTTTTTTCAGCTTCCATTAAAGTTGTCTCAGATTGACCGTTGCTTCTTGTTTCTGGCCCATTTGTATTGATTTCTATCGTCGGAGGTAATCACATTCTCGCTAGTTCGGAGGCAGCTCTTTGTGTTAGCACTCAATACTCGTCACAAAGAGATGACTGTGTTTATTAATACCCATCACAAATTATAAAATATAACAATTTTTGATCTATAAGGAGTTGGGAGTTGTACATGGTCAGTGGGAGGTAGCGTCATCGCAAATGTTGACACGGTTACACATTCGGTATGTCTAGTGAATTTTAGTCTAACAGAATTTGAACTAACAGATGGATGGAATTCGTAATAGAGAAAAAAAACAATCTTTCTTTGTAGTTACCTTGAAAGTGCTTCTGATGTGAGACTATTAATTGAGAAAGCTTTCCAACAACATCAAAACGTTGCCATCACAACTCTGGTTTGGGTTTGATTTTATTGTGGCTCAACTAAGTAGATTTCCTTCTTTTCTTCTTCTCTTTTATCACAACGGAAAGTGAGTAGTTTTGGTTTATCTATCATACATTTCTCTGAACGCAGCTGAGCCGTTTTACCACCACCATCACCATGACCATCACCACCGACAACAACGACACCGTTGAGGTATGTATGTACACAGAAAAGGACCGTGACGAAGCATGGGGAAAATGATCATGAAGGAATAAGAGTGAACAAACATCCTGTACCTAAGTAGCGCAGTTGGGACCACTTACCGTGTCAAAGAAGAAATGCACCATATTGCTCCAGGTACGCGCGAATCGCAGATTTGGTACTTTTCTACTGGTCACGTAGTTTCGCAGCTCATCATTGAGAACAACAAATCCGGTGGGTAGACCGACCGTGAATACAGCCATCCCACTCTGCTCCAATGGTTCTGGACCCTGTATCATGCATACATTTTAGAAACTTGCATTAGAATTCTCAATCATTGTGAAAAAAACGATTTACAATATCATTCAAAAATTTTGCACGAGAACGTCAACTCGATTGAACGCAGGCAAATCAGTCAGATCGGTTTTAAGTTGTACTACTCAACCAATGTGTAAAGACCTGATTACCTCGTTTGCTGGTTGTAATTCTACACTCCGGTCAACAGGTATATAAATAATACTTCATTAGAAGTTTAATTAAATCGCTCTCTAGGATCAAATCATTCAGTTGCTCTTGAATGTTTTAATTGACGTGGACATGGGTCATGATATCGTAATATGAGTGCACTTGACCTATCCGGAACAATAATTAAAACAATCAACTTGATCAAACGTGATTATTGTGAGGTCGGTGGAACTAATCATTGATGAAGTAGGGAAGAGGACATATTCATTCAGTAGTCTATTGTTCTTGATGGTTATTAGATTCCTCTTCGATGGTGCGGAGCAGTCTATACAAACTCTTCTCGATGTGTGTCAATTGGGCGTCTTACCGTTGGCCACAATTAAACCGTCGAGTTTTTGTCGTTATACTTTGACTACTGGTCCGGTGCATGAAATAAATCAAACAAACAAATTCGGTACATCGCATCAGGTGGTGACATATATGAGATGATCGTAGTGCTGATATCTGATTTACTGATTACTACAATCATCTTAAATATTTCACAGCCTGATACGAGAAATTGAAATAAATTTTTTTCACGGACACCGTTTTTTCACACTGTTTATGGGAATATTTTACGGGATTTTCTACTGTCGAAATTTATGAACCAAAAATGTTCATTGTCACCGGTGATTATAATGCTCCTCGGGTAACTGATTGCGGATAAACTACCCTGTTTACATTCACCTTACCCCAACTCGACACACTCAAATACATTCACCTACATATCATCTAAATAATAATGATAATAATCCTGATTGCTTCCTCACTTAAATGCATCGTAACTGTCGAGAAAGAGGCATCAGTCAGTCAATCAAAAGGCTATTCACGGTCACAAAGAAGCGGGAGGATTGAGTGACAGCACTGAGATAAAAACAAATGACCTTAGAGATAATGTAATCCACATCTCTGCCGCTTAGGTTGTTTTGCGCGCGCTCGGAAGTAGGCGGTACCTTGTTACCTAGTTAAACGAATTTGGGTTCGACGCCATTGTTCATTGGGTCATCCCGGTTTGATAAAATGTTTAGCGCTTAAACATCACGAATAATTTCGACCCAGTACGGTTTTCGGGTGCACACTACAAATGTTCTTATAGTGGATAGCTCATCTCTGAATCTGGCCTGGGAATTGATGATTCACAGGAGCCGAAAAAATTTCATTGGAGTCGATCAGTTGCATCACGTAAGCGAGCACATGTTTCAGTACAGACAGTCAAACAAACGATACAGATTTTATTCTGAGTCAAGTCAAAATTGGAATGTGTTTTGTGCAGAAGAACCAAGAGCCCATCTATTTCTAATCTGAGTGGTGCCACAGTTTCTCAATAGTTTATCACAGACCAAAATAGTTTCACGAGATCTTCGATCTCCCTGCCCACCAGCGTACACTCACCGTGGTGCCGACCCATCGTCCACAAGTGTTCATCACCATGATTGAATTGTTCCGTCCTGCAAAACCAGGATTACATTCAATCTCGAAACTCCGCAGCACCTCTTGTGTGTCGTTCGGGTTCCGTGGCATTTTTTGCAGCGGTGTATATTCAACATTCACAGTGACATCCATTTGCAGTAGCAGACGTCCAGTTCCTTCGGCTTTCATGGTCACATCACCCCACACTTCGTCGGGCGGGAACTGGTAATGGAAACCGAAAGCGTTGTGACAAAGATAGATTCAGTGTTCCAATAAAATGTCTTCACATTTGGAAAAACAAAACCCTGTGAATGTGTGGGCTAATATCATGCACCATTGCAAGCAGAGAATACCTAAAAATGCTGCAAGGTTTTATCCTTAAGTTTCGTACAAAATTGTGATCCATTTGGATACGTGATGGTTACCGTCTCCTTGTTCATCAATCTGTGACTGGAGCACACAGGCTGCGATAAGTCCCTCTACTGTTAGTGGTTGCCATCTAAGCGACAACAACACAACCATCTGTGGACCAGCAGGATGAAGTTAAAACCTTTTGTGAGTCTGGCATATAGTTGTGTGTGTGTGTGTGTGTGTGTATTCCTGCGATTTTGAACAAAACAGGCAATACGTTCGCACAAGTGCTCTCTCAAATAAAACGATTGTAAGTAACATTTGTCCACTTGCCATAACGAAGTTTAAACTTGGTTGAAGATTTCTTTCTCAGAAAAGAAACGACCGAATGGGAGAAACTTTAATTGGTACACGTAAATGCTTTGAATAGTAAAGATTAGAGTTGTTTTTATCACAACTAAACTTCTGTTTCACTGGCTAAACATTTTGGTACGATAGTGCAGTGTCCCGTAGTTTTTGAGATTACCTGATCGATGTGAGAGTGAGCGCGCGCGCTCGTTCGCATACAGAGAACTAAGTGATGTATTTCCCCATAGCAAAATAAGTCCCTGAGAAATTCAAGAGGCACCATCTGCATCGGGAGCTGGTTTCATTGTTTCCCCGAGGGCATTCCGCTTCCTGTCATTTGCCGAGATAATACCGAAGATCACAGGGGTGCATCAGTGTGAAATTCAAACCCAACCACTCCACTTAGGTAGTTGGCGGTATCAGTTTCCAAACGTAATCAAATGTGATCTGAATGTATGTACGCAGCTGATGAGATTACCACGAAATAGTTTACTTCAAGGGATCCTCTGATCATGATGCTTCTCCTTGATCTCATGAAACTGTTAAAGGGAACTGGTTTCATTATAGCCTTGTCTGGTGCACCACATTCTTTGTAACTCACCTGTCCCAGCAAGGTCATCAGATCGTACAACTAGATAATTGGTCCTTATAACTATACGGTTGATCTTTATCATTGTTTACAGAATAAAGTGGATAATAATAAAAAAAAACATGCACGTGTCGGATAAATTCCCTTCGAACTTATCAAAACCCACGTCCAATATAATGCCAGGATTCAATTATACTGAGATTTCTTAGTTTAAAACCAACTGTCTTGATTACCAATTGAAACTTTCGCCCACAATTTTCAACAGTCAGATCAAGCGCGCAATGGGATTCCGAACTGCATCAGCTCCTATCGGGTCGAATCGATCGGACACCAACGTCCGCACACACTACCACCGACTGACGACTGGAATAAAGTTAATGTCCAGTGTGATCGTCGCGTCCAAAAATGATCCCAAGCACTGAAGCGAAGTAAGGTGCGTTTTGGGGAGGGAGGATGAACGACTGGGCTGAGATGCACAGTGGAATCATCACGCCAGGTTTGAAACATGGATGCACACACGCACAGACGTTCGTCGTTTGTAAAGATGAAAGCAATACGCAGGTGCGCGTACCGTGCAAGGGGAAGAATGCAGAATGCAATACAACTGGACTAAATCCACTTGGCACTTGTCATCTTGGGTGTACATATTTAGAGGCACGAAAGCCATTGTCGTAATGGTTTTCACGAGTGTAGACCGGGAATATTTCACTGAACATTGTGCCCCGAAAAAAAACTGGGAATCACTGAAACATGGACTTTGTGGGGTATCGTATGCAACTGGAATCTTAGTAAATATCATTATTACTCAAATGCTAAGAATCAAACAGTCAGTCACCACTGACACAAGGACATAATCAAACAGGAGTATCAATAAGATGTAAGATCGTTGGATTGATGCATAAGCATGTTTTCAAGGTACTCCAAATGAACAAGGTGTGAATATGACAGAGCAGGGGTTCACTGAATAACCTTTCACTCCTATATGACTTCGGTTGTATTATTCCGGTGAGGAATGTTTTTATTAATAAAAAAGATGTCTTCAGCAGTTCACCGTTGCTGAAGAAAAATCTGGCAATCAAGTAGGAACATATCAATGGGCAGGGGACACACGAAGCACTCCCTTCTGGTTTATTGTAAGAAGTCACTTAGCCAGAGGTGAATGACCGGGGCAAGGTAACAATCAGGACTAGATTTTGCGCACTCCTACCGTCTGAAGTTGATAATTCTGGAGTTGATGACGATCTTCCTGATTACAATTCACTTGCCTTCTCCTGGGAACAATCAGGTACTCGTACAAAAAAGAAGAAAATAAAAGAATCACAAAAACTGAAGCGTTTTTGTGATTAAAATGGAACGCATCACGAAAATCATTCGATTGAACTGAAGATGCTTGTGTTAAAATACGTCGTTTGACTATCCCGCTAAACTAACTCGTCTAGCCTGCTCTATCTAACACACACACACACATACACACACACACACACACGATAAACGAGTAAACAAGCAAATTGCATCGTTCCGGATCGCAAGCAACTCACAATTGTGTTCGTCACAGTTGAATAGTTCTGTTTGTGCACGTAGATCCGATTTCTCCATATGCTGCTGGATGAGATGCGTTGATCCACTGCCATCCTATAGAGAGCCCGATTTGTATCGGCCAGTGCAAATTTGCGTAGAGCGTGAAGTGCGATCAGAGAATCCTGAAATTGCGTTCAATGATGTGAGGTGTGGTGTAGGGAAGAAAAACTCAATTCAATTAACTGTTCAAAAAGAGATTGAGGATAGTTAGAAAATATGAGCATTTGCGATCCGATCGCTAGCACGTACCCAACTTACGGTCTTATTGAACCTCGCACTGCCACACAGACACAAAAAGACCCGGTCGAAACAACCGCTCATGTTCGACACAGTATGAGCTCAGTTGTTGATCTCGACTGAATTTGTAACCTGTGCTCATGCAGTAGTCAAAGCACGTCAATGACCGCAAAAGCTCATGTACACATGCTCACAAATTCATTATCACCCGACCTTATGCGCACGAGAGTTTTTGATACAATCCATCTACTTGCCGTGGAGTTGACCTTCTACTTCGATATTTAGTAATCTTTGCATGCTTGTACACGTTCGTTCACCATATTAGATCAACCCCATGTGCTCTATATGTGCCCATTTGTTTTTAGGTCAGCGATCGAACGAAGATTGAACGAAATGTTGACATCGTGTGACATTTGTCTTCTTTCTGTATTGATGCAATCTACCTCAGTTTAGTTAGAGCACTGTGCACGTTTGATGGAATATGAGTAGCCGATGATTGTGCAGAAAGCAATGGGTATGCCAGAATTATAGATTTCTTTTGGTTCTCCTGTGTGTGTGTAGAATAAGTGGTGAGAACAAAGCAACTGTATGCGTCAGTGTGTGTGGCCGTGCGCGTTTTTCTGTTGGCAATTGGCCATTTCGGTTTAACCTCATCGGCATTTTGGTTAGGCTCATTTATGCAGCAATGGAACAGGGAGACGATCCAAGAGACCTAAATGTGCGAGGCGCGCAACGACACTGACCAGTACAGCATATTCAGTTCTTTTAACAGAACGCGGTGAATAAAGAATGGGAACAACGAAGAGAACACTGGGATTTTTAACCGCTTAACTCTTCTATAGTTTAGAATTGAATTAGAGGATACTTTTATCTTGGTTAATGCAGTTTGTAATGTCCGGTGCATGATGAATGCACACTATTTATTAGTATCGTTATTGTTTGATCAAATAACGGTACCATGTGAGAATTCTGTACTGGGATCTGAGGCCTTTATCGTTTTATTTCTAAGTGCAAAGATAACGGAATTCAGCATCTGATGCGATCCTTAGCAAAGTACAATATGAAATAGAATTATAAAGGTCCAACGAACAAGCTGGATCCCATACCACTCCCATGAGGACATAGTACACGAGAGGAAATATGAAACACGCGCAGCTTACAAACGTGCTCGCAAATCCAGCCACGTGGTTGCGTTCGGAAGCCATCCAGTGCACCATATCTAATGCTTCCGGAGTTCGAAATGTCCAAGAGCCTTGCTCCTGCATGAGAAGGAAGTACATGCTAGAACAGGCCACGCCGTATCCGTCGTTTGGCATTTCCAGTCGCGGATTCTCAATACGCCGACCAGCTTGATCTATTTCCCACTTTGGTGGCGGAATCGGGTAGTTAGCAAAGTACGTGTACTCGCCCTTCTGTCGATAGGTGTCGATCTTCCGAACGGCACTATTTTAATGTAAAAGAGGACAGTGAAATAAATTTTCTAATGAAGGAGCAAACCCTTTTAAAACTTGTCATTTTGAAATTATCTTCCTATCATCAGTAGTTTGTCGAAAAATCGTCTGTCAGATTCGGTCTGTTTGTACAATACATAGTTTAAACAAGAACAATGCATGATATTGAGTGAATTTTCTCCATGAACTATCTGTCCTCGTTAGCTTGCGCCCATTCAATTGGAAATCAATGTAGATATGAGCTCATGGGTTGTGGATGGGTTAAACGAAATGGGTAATTGGATCATACATCAAAAACGACATGCATACGTTATTTAATACGGCAACGAAAGAAAGTTAAAATTCCTTTTTACAAGCACAGTTCATTACAATAATTCTACAGGATGATCAAAGGTAATAAGGGGTAGTCCGATAGGAGTGGATATTCTATAACTACAAAAACATCTTAGATGTTACATTTCAGCTTGGAGACCAGTAAAACTAAACAGGGAAAGTATAAAGAAAAATGGAATCGATCGTGTGTAAATAATTCTTCAATCGGTAAAGGCACATTCATTTACGAGTGTTTGTTCTCAGTCCCTAATAGAGATATAATAGAATCTTCAAATCACGCACTCTTGTGTTACTTTTCGCTGAGTTAGCCACGAACTGCCCTCGGGGGATTTTTATGAAATCGTACTTTGTGCAATCCCCCTGTCAGTGAAACGTATCTCTGAATTAAAAACCTCTGTTCATTATCAGGTTTCTCCAAACAATGTCGGATACCTGCATATGAGACTTCCCTTTTGCGAGAGAATACACTGTCGGGGTAACTGTTCGAATGTCTTTAATCGCATAACACCGAGCACGAGGACAGTTCTGTCCCCGTTTAGTAAACAGATGTGTTATTTTCATCCAATAATTTTGACTGAACGCAAGCACGAAAGACTCCAAGTATCACTGAAATGTAAGCTTTATGTTTGTGCCAACTTCACAGTGCCAGGATTCACAAACGACCTACAATTACTTGTGACAAGTGATGGGGGATAAGTTAAATTGATATGGATATGCGCTATTGATGAGCTCTAAGGAGAGCAACTATCGAGTCTAGTGCCTCCTGAGTATATGGTTGACTGGATGAACTGAGGATGACGCGTGAAGATGAAGTCTGAAGGATGGTCAGCCCATATCCATACTAGGATTATTGTACATTATTGCTGCATCTTGGAGAGTTATTTGTTTTCTATGAATGCGGCTTTCACGTGACTAATGGATAGGTTTAGTTCCGGTTTAGAATTTACACTGAGTTGCATGTAAAAATCTAAAACAACCTGGCAGATTCAAGAACCCGCCATTGGAAGAACTTATCTCATTGACGACTATCTGTTAACTATGAGACGAATCCAATTACCTTTTTAATGGCGATTGACAACATAAGGATGTGCGTTCAGTTTGGGTGGGAATTAAAAACGGCGCATATCAGTGCACAGCCCGGAGTCGAGTGATCACGATTCACAAACCTCTCGTGATAGTTTTCAGCTAATGATAAGCTATTACACTGCGAGTTGGGATCGAATGTCACATAGCACAGGCACTAAGGTAGACAAATAAAACAGGTCTAGTGAATTTCTTATTTTCACAAACATTAAGGTATGTGGTCAAAAAATGAACCTGGTTTCATTGCACGTACAGCATAATTTTTTGCTGTGATGTGGCATCAGTGGCCACACTGAGTGCATAGGCTCCGATCATGAGAGAGAACAGATCGTTGACTTGGAGAATATGCCGACTGATGAACTGAACCGCGCGGGACACAATTATCTCAGCCTGTTCAGATCCCACTCCGCTTGGCAATGAACGGCCGGTCGATCGGAACGCTATGATAACCATAGCTGTGGACGGTAGTCTGCGATGGGCCTCTCGATCAATTGCATCCGAAGCATTACTGACCGGAGCAAAACGTCGATCCATCACTTGACGCACATCCCAACTGCCGGATAAACGAATATCCACAGTAGTGGTGTCCGTGTCGCTCGAAGTGACCTGCTGCGTCTGACCAAGGTAATTGATAATACGCATCAATGTTTCGTCGTCCACATGAATCAAACGGTTCCATTGCGGTTGTCTAGTCTGTAGTAGGTTCCACAGGGCAAATGCTGTGGCCAATGGATCCGTGCTGTAAGCAGATAAAAGTTCATTGAAAAAAGTAAAATTACATATTCGTTAAGCACCACTGAGATGATAGCAAAATGACACATCAACAACTGGTTGATTCTGGACCCCCTTTAAAGTTTTAATGCGAGAACAGAATGATTCCGACAACCGTCTGCAAATGTTATTTGGATACGAAGAGATTGAAAAGTTTGTCGAAAAGGGAGAAAATAACTCGTCTCTTGTTGTTTGCACTACCTATTGGTGAACAAAGAAGCAACTAAGTTTTATTCCAGGGTGTAGGTGCCGTGTACAATATGTAACTTATATTTAACGTTCAATGATTGCAGCTCGGGATGCTGATGTTCAGCCTGGCATTGTTATTTGCGACTTTGGGGAAGTAGCAGTCTTCCGTGTCATCGGAATTATATAGTTTTCTTCGGAAGTTTTTTTATGGATGTCCCTACAATCCTGCCGATCAATTCCGTGTACTGAATGCTATTTGATCGGTTAGTTTGCTGCCACGGTGACTAGCTCCTCTTTTGCTGATTGATTCTGCTCGAAACAGGTTTGAAGCGGTCCTGAACCGGAGAACAATCCAACAACAATACAAACTGGGAAATTCAACATTTTAAAGGTGTTAAAATGATATCTCGCTCCTTTTTATTGATAATGGTCCGAAAAGATCAGAAACATGTTTTTGTTCAAACTAACTACAAGTGAATAACGGAAACAAATAGAAAAAGCAAATAATTGGAAATCAAACCAGCTTCATGGTCGAAGTGAAACACTTCTGTCAGCATTTTGTCACTCCTCCCTCCCCCCCGAAAAAAAAGTTGATTTGAGGACCACTGTACGGTACGAGAAAATAAATGCGGTGAATCTGATCCATATTATGCAGTGAATTTCTTTTTCTAGTGAACAGAACGCCAGTTTGTGTACTCCCCTGTTGCTCACAGGAGAGAAGAAAAACCCACAGTCAAACTTTATTGTAGTTTTCTAGTTTTCATAAACTAGTGAGATGTGGACTAGAACGCACCAGCAATTTAGTGAAAACATTGAATTATCAGCAGAATTTGGTTTAATTTATGCACACGAGATTGAAAACAATTAGTTCAGTTCAGTAACAAGACTTTTCCGTAAAAGAACTTTGACTTAATTGAATTTCAAGTCACTGTGGCTTTAAAATGGGAAAAACATTATTCAAAATGCTAGTAGGGGATATATCATTTTGGTCTGAACAAATATATATATATATATATATATGTGCGTGTGCCAATTTTGAGCAAATAGTGAGCAAAAATTGATTTTCACGGTGTATGATAATGCCAAAGACATGGATGAATAAACTCGTTTACACTTGGTTGTTCTGTTGAAACACAACTGTATCAGACAGGGTTTGCTCACGTCTCATGATCGACTGCATCACATGGGAAAACGATAAACATTTTTAGTGTTATCAATGCTTATTTTTCGAGACGTTGATTGAGGTGTTTGCTGTTTTGTTCAAAACCCCTCCCACCGAGGAGGGGGGGGGGGGCAGAGATGAAAGCATGGAAGGCCTGTAGTCATTATCATGTTCGCTGTGTGTGCAGGTGGAGAATACTTAAGCAACTGCATTGAGACGGTATCTAATAATTGAACGAAAACTCAACTCAACCAAAGATGATAGTTCTAGATCAGTGCAGTTTCAACTCCTCTAAGTGTGATTCGAACAGGACTCCAGTTTTGATTAGAATAATAACACATATGTGAACTAGCAGCGGGAAGATAATATCGAATCTGGAATATGCCTGATTAGGGAATACAGTATCATTATTAGTGCACTGATGATAGGTGTCCTTGAATAGCATCTCGTCCCGTTTCACCGGATGATTGCACACACAAAAGTGCTAGAAGAGACCGAAAATCTGGGCAGCTGGCTGCAAGAAGACGGGCATGGTGAAAGCAGAGCAAAAGCAAATAACCAAGGTAAAAAGGAGTCAGATTCTACCGCCAGATTTATCTCCGCCTTTGACCGGAAACTACTCTTGCCCTCTTGCCCTATAACCGAATGAGAAACGGTCAGTCAAGTTTTCTTTGATGTACCCGAACGAATTATAAGGACTGTCGGTTCATCGTGTACAGCTACTCACCCTATCGATTATCCTTCACATACACAGTACGGTATAGGACAGCCAAAAGACAACACTGTGGTGGTTCCAATCACCACAATTACCAAAAGTTGGCACTCAAGAACAGCTCTTTTCCGTATATTCACTGTCTTCTTCATATCGCCGGATAGGCCACCAGAATGGAGAACATACTGATCAACTAAGAGTTAAATTGACTAAGATCAAAAATTATTCTATTTAATTACTATTCTATGTATAGTTATACTTCTGATATTCAAATACCGTAATACGAGAGTATGAGTCGATCGATAAGTGTTGATCTAGTCTCTCTCACTTAAAACTCGGTAGCTTGATACCTTGTGGTGACCCAGACATATGTGACCGCATTCCAGGCAAGACCAGGTACAGCTTCATGTCATCCAATCACAGTTCAGGAAGCTCGGCCAATGGTACATCGGGCGAACATTGCATCCGAATTAGTACATGTAATGCGTCTGCAAAAACAGTTACTTGATTGGACGACGGTCCTTCAACCAATGGTATGGCCTATTAATTTCTATAGAAAATGCTCTAATTCTATCAATAAACACAAACATTTGCTGCTATCAATTCCTCGTGTATTTCATTTGTGTCCGCAGTTCGGGTTGGATCCAACCCGGTTCGGAGCAGTAGTTCAGTTCAGTTCTCACAGGACGATTTGTGGCTCTTACCAACCGAGCGTCCAGATTCGTATATTGTCGGCGAGTTTCCTTGACTTCCAACGCTTCCATATGCAATTTTTCTGAAAGACACAATAGTGTGGTTCAGTATCACACCCTCTGTGGTTAGGTTATAGGTGGTACTGAACGCTTACCTCAGGGAAAACCGCTATCCAACGCTACATCTACAGTACTGCAGCTCATCTTTGCCAGCGGCAACCGGTTCCACAACGGAATTACCCTGTTAGTGAAAAACGTTGCTTTCAGTTGCAACCCAGTGTGGCTTCCCTGCAAACATAAGTTATGTCCTCGTGTGCCTCTATGCGGGACTCAGGAGAACAGGTCGTCAAATCTAAGACCTGATATACCCTTGGCGATCTTAAGTGTCTCGATGAGGTCTCCTTTAGTTCGCCTCCTTTTGAGGCAGAACAGATTTAAATCTCTGAGCTTTTCTCCCGTTGCCCAGCTATCATCCTTGTGGCTAGACGTTGAACCCGTTCTAAGGTATCGATGTCCTTTTGAAATAACGGTGCTCAAGTCTGCACACAATATTCCAGATGCGGACGGATGATGCTTTTTTATAGGGGGACAAACACCGGGTTTTCTGCACGTCATGGTTGCGCATAGACGAAACAGTTGTCTCCTAGCTTTGTTTGCGGCCCTCGCACATTGGGTGCTGGGCTTGAAATCCCGCGTTACCACTATACCTAGATCCTTTGCCTCGTGCACTCTCTGTATCGACAGACTCCTTGATGTCTCTTCTTCAGTTCTGGTAGTCAGTATCTGACATTTCGAGACGTTTAGTGATAGGTCCCATTGTTCGGCCCATCCTTTTACTACCTCTATGTCCCTTGCTAGATCCTATCCAGCTATCTTGATGTCATCTGTAAACATAAAACAGGGATTTTGGAGATCCCGTGCTAGGTCGTTAATGTGGAACAGGAACAGCAGTGGTCCAAGTACGGATCCTTGGAGTACACCACTTGTGACCATTTTCTCCTCGGATATGTAAGCTCCTACTTTGACACTAAAAGTCAGTTGCGCAAGAAAGCCCATCAATTCAGCTCCTGACTGTCCCACCTATTCCAATAATTGCATCTTATGATCTAACAGATGGTGGCTGACCGAGTCAAATGCCTTCTGGAAGTTCAGATAGCATACCTCCACCGATAGGCCCTCATCAATTCTACGTGTGACCTCTTCTAGAAACACCAGCAAGTTTGTCAGACAAGATCTCTTTTGAACAAATCCGTGCTGAGCTGGTACCAATAGCCCGCTATTGACCATGTAGTGGCATATTTGCCTTCTAACTAGGCGCTCCAAACACTGACATAGTACTGACATCAAACTTACTGGTCAGTAATTCTTGGCTTTTTGCCGGGATCCAGACTTGTGTATTGCCAATACTGTGGTTTTGCGCCAGTCGTTTGGGACAGTTCCCAGTCTAAGAGACTCTTTAAATAACTCGAGGATCGGTCCCACTGTGACGTCAGCCAGCGGTTGTACAATCGCTGGGTGAATTTTGTCGGGCCCCGCCGCCTCGCAACTATCGAGCCCGCTGCCCATCCTCAATTTCCACAGTGATTGGGGGCATGGTGCAGTTACCTTCAAGTGATAGAAGGTTATCTATCACCCTGGGGACCCTGTATGTGCATTTGAAGAACTGTAACAGGATACGTGCCCTTTCGCCTTCACTCACTGCTAATTCACCTGTCGACGATTCTGAGGTACCAATCGTTTCCCGAGTGCTTCGCTTAGATTGGATAAATGCGTAGAAATATTTAGGATTTCGCTTGACGTTTTGCACCGAGTTTCTCTCGAATTGGTATTTAGCCTCCCTTTGCACGTTCTATGCATAGTTGCGCGCTTGTTTGTACCCATTCCATGACTGATGGGTGCCATACAGTTTATAGACTGCCCACTGTCTTATACGAATGGTTATAACCCTATCTATATATGCCTTCCACCAAGGAGGAAGTTGCTTCTTTCTTAACGGAACCAAAGGCGCAAACCTGTTCGTGAGTGGGAGAAGTCCTGCCTTAATATGGCTCCATCTGGTTTTCAGAGATGCATCGGCTGGGTTGGGTACCCAGTTTATATCCTGCACCGCTCTGGCCAGTTCGTCCTGNCTACCTTAATACGGCTCCATCTAGTTTTCAGAGATGCATCGGCTGGGTTGGGTACCCAGTTTATATCCTGCACCGCTCTGGCCAGTTCGTCCTGCCTGACTTTGCCATATCGCCTCCCTAGTTTGGCCGCTGGTTTGGTGTCTGCTTTTTAGCGTTAGTCGCAGGACCACATGATCACTTTTTCCTAGTGGCTCCTCCTGGGTTATTGTCCTTATGTCTATAAGGGTTCTCGTGATCATTAGATCCAGTATGGGTGACCTGTCATTTGCTCTAAACCGGGTGGCTTGTCGCATGTGTTGTGACAATGCGTGCTGATGTAGCTACTCTAGAAGCAGTCCACCTGCGGTAACTGCCGGTGCATTGTCTATATTAAAGATGATCTCAGGCATGTTGAACTCCTCTACTAACAACACCCTTCTGGACGTGGCAAGGAATATTTGCAGCTGAGCAATCAATTCCTAATCTTCTGTTGCATTCGCCTGCGGAGCCTGGTAGACGCACATGACGGCTAATGCGTTTCTGTCTATTTTAACTACACAGCTGATGGGTTGTATGTTGGGAGTCGCTAGGACTGCTGCTGCCTCCTACTGCGTGTGATCTGACTTTATCATTATCAAAACTCCTTCACTTGCCTGCCATTCATCCTATCTTGTCTATAAATTGTGTAGTCATCCATCCCCGGGATGCTGTGGTGCTTCCGCATCCATGATTCAGTTATGGCTACGATGTCTATACCCCTGGGTGCGCCGTCGTACCTCTTCCCACGTATCCCGTATGCTGCGAGCAGTGTACCACAGCGTGACTGAGTCTGCTTGAGCATGCCTGCTGGATCGGGAACTCATTTTCGGGGGATCCTCGAGCGTAATGCCCGAGGCGTTACCCCGGTTTTGGGGAGATTTACGGCTGTGGAAGTGGCTTCTTCTACTTCCCAAGCCATTCCACTTTTCGCCCTAGATATGACTTTTATCATCATTCTAAAAGCCTCCTCTACCCCCATAGATACATCCTCGTTCGCCTTTGGAGTACTTAATCTCCGTTGCAATGGGAGAGCTGGTGACTTTGCGGCTACTGGGGATTTCGATACTATTGTCGCCCATGCAACTAGTTCCTCACAGCTCACTGTTGCTTCCTTCTCCGCACTGCCAGCTGCAACTAAGTTCCTTAGTTGCGCGGCTTTGTACTCACCTCGCCATGTTTATAACTGGCTCCGCGCAATTATGCAATAGCATGTTCTTATTCCTTCTTAACGAAACTTCGCTGCTTTTTTCAGCAACTTAAGTTCTCTCTCCAATTGCTCACTCTGTTGTAAAATTTCCCGGTAGTTAGGCTAAGCCTCAGGCTTAACCACAGTCTTCTTAGCCTTTATAGATCTCATGATCTGTGGTTCAACCTCCCCGTTTCGGTTTCCAACTTCTCTTATTTGTGTACTTTTATTTGGGGATGACGCAGAAGTAACCCCTTCCGGTTTCTCTTTGTTTTCCTTATTCTGGGGAACCACTGATGCCTTCAGAATTTTCCTGAACTCTTCGGCTAGTGTTGCGCAGTGGTTAATAACCCACTTAAAGGACTTGCGCTCCATGTGGAATTGTTACTCCTTTTTACTCATTTGAGAGCATCGCTGGTGGTACCACACTCCACAGCCGTCGTATTGAACCCTGTGCGACAAGCTCTCCGTAACAATTAACCGCACACGCGTTGGAACCTTTGTTTGTGTCATTCAAAGTTAAACAAGAATGTCTAAATAAACAGTTATTTAACTCTGTAAAAGTAGACACAGGGTGATACAAAAACATAAAAAATACACTTTACCAAACTCAAAATAAAATGCTTTAGGCCTGCGAAACACCAAAGTGCACGCAGAAAAATTGCCTAGTAAAAGGTTTGTGATCTTTGACAGATCACGAACGATACTGGTAAACGGAAAACTACTACAAGAGTTATTGGAGTGAAATATCTACCGATATTTCACCAGTACTAGACAAAAAGTGTGAACGAGATAGAGCACAGTGGAATTTCAAACCGCGCGCAAAAGTTCAGTACGGGTTCTCGTATTCCGATATTTCATGCTATTCTGATTACCACATGACTGCAGAGGTGGCAATGAACATGTGCTAAAACTTTCTAACTACATAAAATTACGACATTCTTCCATCGAACTGGATGATTCCCGTGAATCCGTTATCTAATACTATTTGGAGTCTATTTAAAGGACAAGTACTACACCAAAAGCCGTTCCTGAATAAGTAACTGGTAAATATCTTCTTGGAATCTGTCGGCCAAGAAATAAAAATTGTTACCTAGGTCGATCTGTCAAAACTCAGGAGACTTGGATGAGCAGCCAATTTTGTCAGCGGCGTCCGGCGAAGTGACTTAGATTTTGTGTCAACTGAGACGGATTCATAAAAATTATCTATCACGATTCAAAATGGAAACCATGGATTTCGATTTTTTCCCAACCTGACGGGTGTGTATCGATGATGCGCACTTCACAAAGAAACAGGAAACGATTCAGGAAAAATATTGATTGATTTGAATAAATGAGTGACCAAAGTGGATCTGCACAATATGCATATAATCATTCATGTGCTCTGAACAGTGTTCAAAGCTCACGAGTTTCGGCCCAGCACGATATAAAATTGGTCTCGTTCGCACCTTGTTTCATCGAGCGCGTAAGATATGTACTAAAGACGCCGTTTTTAATGATGGAAGTGAGCTTTTAAAAAGATCAATACACGGCTGCAATCATTACTAGCATCATACAAAACAGAGGGGCTAAAAGTTGCTCCCAAATGAAAGCTCCCATACAAATAAAAGAATGTTGACCGATTAGTTGATAACCAGTTGTACTCTGCCATCAAGTGTTTTTATCACAGCCTACTCAGTCAATGCTATCATAACTACCCAAATAAGAACGAGATCAGTAGAATCACAATTGCCAGCTCCTCTCTGGCAAGTCTAACTGCACTTATCAATTGAGCTGTGAATGTTCATAATTCAACGTAGACAGAACAGAGAGGCAGTTCCGTTTCCCAATGCCAAATGATTACATTCTGGTGTGCTTTAGGAAAGCGATTAAGGACATCGTTGAAACGATTACGTCATTAACTGGGTAGAAAACACGCAGATCTTTGAGCACGCAATGCGTGTATAAAAATAAACATTGTGTCACTTCAGCCCACTAATATCAGGTCGTTTACAACAAACACACAAACAGAAACACAAAGTTAGTGAAATATGCCGAGGCGCTCATCATTAACAATTACAAACACGATTTATACAAGCAACGTGAATGGCTGGCCACAGTTTTTGCTTTTGTCATTCATAATACCCTGCGTTTTTCCTGTTTTCGGTGATCAACACTAATCTTGCCTTCGTTTCCCGTTCGGTGTTCCATGGACCGAAAAACTGCATTATTTTCAGTATGCTTCTGCTAAGATGCAGCAACATGAGCGTGGATTCAGTCTCTATTCAAATTTGTGACCAAACGCACTGTATAAAACATCCATTTTCGTTTATACACTTCATCAACCAAGAAGAGGACAAGAACTGATATTGGCTATCAATTTCGCGTGCCCTCATTCAGTTGTAAACGTACATTTATATGATCCCGTCAAACGAAGGAACACGTAGGTGGAAATGAGTCATTTAGACCAGGTGATGAACAAATGAGTTGCTTGATTTGCATTTGGTTGGGGGTTCAGGTCAAGTAAGATGGCAAATTCGGATTTAAAAGTGAACTGTTTCAAATAAAGTTGGTGAAAGTGGTGGAGGGAGGGGAATGGAAGATTATGCCATACACTGAGGTACGGCGGCATCACCCGTGACATCATCACTACCACGGAAATGACAATTGGTTCACAAATGCAATTGCGTTTTCAAGCGATAAACAGTTGTCGCCACTGAAAATCGCAAAACCTGTGAACTTCGAGGTTTCGTAGTGACTCAAAACGTCTTGGGTAGTCTACATGGTGACCGAAGTCTAACCAATGCCATGCGATTGTACTGGAGGATAGTTCCCTTCGCGAAATTCAAGATGTTTCGGGACATTCTCACACCATCAACCTGTCTATAGATATGTCCGTTTGACTCAAACTGTAGGTTGCGAACACAAATTTAGTAGGGTTTTCAAATCGCTTACGAGTAAAACCAATTTCACTGGCATATTTGTATACTTTGTTGACGGCTTCCTCGATCGGGACGTTAGTAAGAAATGACGCAATATCATGGCAAGAAAAAAACTGTGGTAATTTACGTCTGGTATTGCTTCTCATTGAAGTATGTCCTTCAGTCCGAATGTACACAGTTCGGCACTAATGGGAGTAATGAGCTTCGCCAACCATTGCGCGGGTTTGTGTTCAGGTGAGTTAATCACCGATAAGTTGGGTCGTAATGGGATTCCCGGTTTGTCTAATTTCGGCAATTCGTACATGCTCTCGATATGTGAACTTCGAGATCTCAGTTTAGTGAACGAGTTTGTATCAATCACACCTTTCTTCCAAAAATTTCTTTAATTGAGTATACACGTTTTTTCTACTCACTTGCCCACCACCTTTTGCGAATGGTTCATTTCAACTCCCTTGTTTTTGTTTGTTTGACATGATCATATAAATATGCGTTTAACAGCTGAATGAGAGCACGCCAAATCGATGGTCAATATCAGTGCTGTCCACATATATCTTGCCTTGTTGGCGAAAACACCATTCCAAATAGGTGTTTGTTGTGAGTTTACTATTGTTTCTCAAAACAAAGTCCATCCATATTCATAACGCATATTGATTAAATCTAGACATGCATTTAATCCCCGGATAAACGGAGACACACATACAAGTTGAAGTACACACCAAAGTTTTCCTGATTTTGGTGCTAAAATTGCGTCTCACACTGGATGCGCACAAATGTCTGCTACACGCAGTTGGGATAAAAATAACTAAATGCGGCTAGTTTCTTTTAGTGTTAACATGTTCAGGTGCTGAAAATATTGGCTGTCCGAGTTTTTCAATTGAATCTGGTCAGGTTGCCAGTTGGCTGAAACCCACCAAAAAAAGAACTGATAACTTTGACAAGACAGACAACAGACAACTCAGGAAATTCGCAGAGATCTTTCTATTGGATGTGCAAAAATACAGGCTATCTGTACGGATGAAGTATGTCTCATTCTCTGACACGGTGAGTTGTTCGGTGGTCTTTCCAAGGACAACCATGTTGCATGTAGCATGAACCGGGATGAGAAGTTTAATTACATCGGAGAAGGGTGGTACGTGTGTAGGGAAGAGAATAGATTTTAAGCCTTACTGTTTTTTGTCAACATTGTTTTGTGCATTTTTTCTCTCGAAGTTTGACCTCTCGCTGGAATTAGCTTACACAAAACTACAAAGTTTGCCAAATACCCGTACCTTCAAGTGTTTCTGTCACTCAGCATGTGATCATATTGTTTGCATAGATTGTGCCGCACAAAGCGGCCGAAACCAGTTTTGTCCTACGACCCGGGACATACCACGGCATACCATAGGTAATCGATCCGCGGCGAGTGAACCGCGAACTTGGGTGCAATCCTACATTCGTGTCATTGGCCCAGCGTCTGTTCTTCGCAGGGCAAGTCCATCCGTCTGTCTGTTTGTCTATCTATCATCTACCTATCGACTGAGATTCACATACACAACTAGGATGTTTGCCTGTTCCCGCTAAAAATCGATCCAGTTCGTCCCGAACGTCAAACCAACGCACACAAACACACGTAATTGCGCGAACACGTGTCTTTTGAACCGGCTAGATTGGATTTACCTGCATCTCCCGATTCCGTCCGTCTGTTACTTTTTACCATCGGGGAAAAGTGGCACATACAGCATCAGCCGTAGCTGATCCTATCGGTTGGGCAAGTACGGTTGCATCGTGTGTGCCTTGACATTTACATTCACGTTTGCATGGAATATATTTGAGCAAGGTTTACGGTACAACGCTTGTTTCAGGATAAGTAAAATAAACGATGTGTGACTAGTCATTGCCGCAGTCTATCTACTTCCACAGAATAAACTAAACCGCAAAAGCACAGTAATTAAGGGGTCAAACAAACCAGCTCAAGAACCAACGCAGCATCATTACTATTGTAAATACATAGGAAAAGTGATAAAATTAATCGGAAAGAACAATTGTAATTGTAAGAGCGGTGAGGTGTTATGCGGATCGGTGCGGTGCT